TTAATAGTCTTTCTTCATATATTTGTTTGAGGATAAAAATAATTGCTAACATAAGAATTTTATATACATTCTCCCATTTCATACTCCCTCAATAACCTTAAATATACTATCATTCCTCTATTACAAATGGGATTTAAAGGCACAAAAACTTATTCAAGATGACACAACTATTAAGTGGCAGATGCACACACTGGCATGTTTGACTCCAAAAGCCATGCCCTTGAATACTTTCCATCCTGGCCCACAAAGCAAAATTAGAAACCTTGAAGTCATCCTAGAAATCCTTACTCTACATCCTGGCATCCAGTCCTATCTGGTCTACTACCCAAATGTTTCTCATGCTAATCTTCTCTCCATACTGCCCTGTTCAAGCCTCTCACCATTTTTCCTGAAGTACCACAATAATCATCTAATAGGAATTTTGACTCAAATTACAATCATCTATAGGGTTCTTTCAGTAATTTAAATTTCATCATGTTGCTACTAAATTTTTTTACAAAGGTTTCCTACTGCTAACCAGGTTAAGTGAAACTCCTTATCAACTGGATCTTTGCTTAACTTTCGAATCTCATCCCACCATTCCTCAAATGTGTACTATGCCAGTCATACTATGCAACCTGTCTCTATTAACATGGTGCCACTTACTACTTCCTTGGCTCACAGAGTTTCCTCTTTCTAGGAGGGCTTCTAATCATCCTTCCAGATTTAGTTCAAGTATCAGCTTCTCAAAGAAGCTTTTCTTCCCTGTTCCAACCTCCCCGCCTTCACCTTCCAGCAAATCAGCATCTGTTCCTCTGGACTCCCTTAGGGCCTTTTCTGTATTTCAAATGCAAAACTCATCACACAGTATTCTATTAATATTTGCCTGTCTCTCCTCCCGGCTCACAGTTTTTTGCAGACAGGGATTTTATATCAATCACATATCCCTAGCATAGTCCCTAGCCTACTTCTATATCTGTACCAAATGACATCTTTAGAAAAGTGGAAAGTCTATGGGGCTTACAAGTCACAGCATGGAACACGTAAGAATGTCAGGATTGTCAGGTTTCCATGTTAAAAGGAAATAGAACACACCTGGAAAAGTGCTGATGCCGACCAGGAATGTCAATTAAGAACAACAGGTGTTCCTAAAAAAGAAGAAGAGATCAGACTTACAAATTTTTAGAGAGAACACAAAGATAATTAAAGAACAGGACAAATCTAACTCAACTGTTTTCAGAGAACCAACAGAAATGTAACGTTTTCTTAAGTCAATTTCAAAATGTTATTTCGGCAATAAAAACTGTAAACATTGCATACTGCCAAGGTAGCATACTGCCAAGGTAAAGAAAGTTTCATTTCAAAGAGGATTCCCAAAAATATATATGTGATCATATATCTTCCTCTCCATCCCCCAGTAAGATCCACTTCTGGTCTACATGTTTCCTCAGGATGTAATAATGACTTTTGTCTTCAGCACATCAACCCAGAATGCACCAACAAAAAAATCGTGATTCTGTGATGAGTTTACTGCTAACCCTTGTATAGTGCCATAACATATAAAACGGCACACTCAGAAGTTTCTGTTCTGTCTGAAAACAACTGTTACGTACTGCACCCAGAAGCATCTGGGGAAATGGGCTGCAACAAAGCTCAAGCCAGACCACTCACTAGCCCAACACTAGCCCAAACCGGCTCAGAGCACGCTCTACACCTGTGCGCGTTCGGCTCCGTCCGCTTCCCGCCTGGGGGGAGGTATCCACGGCAGCAGGCACTCCCGCTCAGACAGGAGGTGAGGGGGAGTAAGGGGTTGAATCTACAGGAACGCAAGAATAAATACCCGTTAGCCACACGACACTACCTTCCAGCTCGCACGCCGCAGGTAATCACCATCCACCAGAAGCGAGCACAAGTCCCTCCCGGGTGCAGGCCCGGCCTTGCGGGACCCCACACTCTTTTCCAGCCCTAGCGCGCGCGCGCGTAGCAGGGCGGGCACCAGGCGCGCGGCACTTAGTCCCGCCTTGCCTGGGAGTAATGCGGGATTGGCGCGGCTCGTAGCCAATCCCCTGCCAGCGACCCCCGCCCCGGCGAAGCTGCGCGGCGCAGCGCTGAGGCAGAGCCCTGGCGTCAAGGGAGTGAGCGGACGCTGCTGTCGCCGCCGGGCTGGTCCTGGTTCGTGCCGCCGCCGGAGCGGGGCGGCAGGTAAGTGGGCACAGACGCGGCAGGTAGCTGCCAGCGGGGCTGAGTCGGGTTAAAGGGGAAGAGTGGGTTCCGACTGCAGCCGCGGCTCTCTGTGGCCTTTTTGGCCAAGTGGCCCCAGCCGCTCGCCCCCACGTCCTCGGCGTCCTGCCAAGGCCCTGATGAGAGGCTCACGATGGAGCGGGTGGAGGGGGCTACCGCCGCTCGGGCTAGGTTTCCTCTGGTCTGGAATCCGCCCCGGGTCGGTGTGGCCGGCGGGGGGACTGCTCTTAAGGAGCGAGGGCCTCAGTGTGCCGGTCGGTAGCGGCGCGGCAAAACTGCTGCGAAAGGTTTTCTGAACTGAGGGGGAAGAGTCCCACACCAGCTTTGCCTTCCAGCTCCGATGTAAATTCTAGGCCTCTGAGGAGCGGTTTTTTTTTTTTTTTTTTTTTTTTTTTGTGGGAAAGTGGGAAAACTATCTTGCATGTTCCAGGTATGATTTCTTTTACATTTAAAAATAATGTAGGATAAATAATGGGTTACGTTTGGGATGGAAGAAATATTTAGATATGTACGTTTGAGATTCTTATATTCTCTTGGTGTACATCACCGTGAGCCTTGATGCTTGTTCCACAGATACAGTTTTAAAGGGTGAAGAGGATATGTACTCAGGATATGTACTCAGGACGGAGTTATGGGAGATTCCTCTCTCTAGCCTACCTCCATAATTAAAAAAGGCTTATATATTTTTAAATAGGAACTGTTCAAAGTACCATGTTGCTTCCTCCACTCCCATGATAGGTATCCTTTAGGACAGTTTGATTGTGTTTAAGGGATTCTTAGACCCAGAGAAATATTAAAGTAACCGGGAGCCTTGTCATTTAGTGTTCATTTTGAATGTAAAAGGGGGAGAGAAAAATCTCTTAAAAAAGAAAAAGTAAAGTTTAAGGGAGTTGACTAGAAAAGTACTCATAGGAAAGACTCCTTGATATTGGTACTGCAAAATTGAAAAGCAAACATTAGCCACACACAAATTTCATACCACATTATGTCAACACCATGTTTTTGATAGGTTTTACTATTCAAAATGGAGTAATTTGAACTCTGACCACTGTTTCTGGGTAACATAAACATTAACAGTAAGAGTCCAACTACTCAGAACAGACTGGCTGGGTTAGTTCAGCTTTTTTAATTTTAGTTTATTCTGCTAATAGATTTAGCTCCTGACTTTGCTCTCCTAAGGAAATACAGGTTTTATTCCCTTTCGCTTTAAGTTTTCCTGTCCATTATTTCATTCAGTAAAACCAATATGCTAGAAGACAAACTTTGGGAAAGGGATTTTAACCATCTTTTCAAAGAGAGCCATAATAAATTGTGTTTATCTTACTATAAAGTCAGATGTTGAGATGCTTTCATCAGCATTGCAAGTAACACATTGTGGGGTGGTGGTGGTCTAGTTCAGAACCAATAGGAAAAAAATCATCCTAGTAACATACTTTGTCATGTCATAAATAGGGTATGTACATTTCCAGCCATGTAACTATTAGCTAGTTTTTTCCAGCTATGTCACTATTGATTAATTTCTTCCTACAGAGCAAACATGAATGTCGGAGTTGCCCATAGCGAGGTGAATCCAAATACCCGTGTAATGAACAGCCGGGGTATGTGGCTGACGTATGCACTGGGAGTTGGCTTGCTTCATATTGTTTTACTCAGCATTCCCTTCTTCAGTGTTCCTGTTGCTTGGACCTTAACAAATATTATACATAATCTGGTAAGAATTTCATCTTACACTAAACACTTGCAAGCTTAAGATTTAGTGGTTGCTAAAGGTTAAGGGAAAGAAAAAAAAATGAGTTGTTTAATAGTTTTATAAAATGAAAAGGGCTCTGGAGATGGATGGTAGTGGTAATGATTGTTTTAACAGTGCAAGTATACTTAGTATGATTGAATTGTGTACTTTAAAAGTATTCAAGATGCTTATAAAAAAAAAAAAGGGGGGGACCAGCAAGGTGGCGTGGTGGTTGGGCACTGGACACTCCCACATGGCCGACCAGGGTTCAAGTCCTGAATCTGGTGGCTTGCTTTCTCACGTTCTCTCTCTCTCTCATTCTCACCCTCTGTCTCTCTCTGCTCAAACTAAAAAAAAATAAATGAATGAATAAATAAAATAAATAATTATTAAAAAAAGTATTCGAGATGCTAAATTTTATGATATGTGTATTAAAGCACAATTTTTTTAAAGCTTGAGGTTTTATTTTCTGAAGAAAAACATGGCTTCATTTTTTTTTAATTGGTTGAGATGTAATTTATATATTATAGAATTCACCCATTTAAAGTGTATAGGTGAGTGGTCTTTAGACTATAAGACTTGGGCCAGACGGTGGTGTGGTAGCTAGTAGATAGCTGGATTCCCCAGGGCTGACTGTGCAATTCGAGTCCCAGATCCTGTAGCTTGAGAGAGACACTGGGGGTGTGTGTGTGTGTGCTCGCGAGCGCCAAAATTCCTAGAAGAGAATGGAGGAAAGGGGATTGCAACATGGCTATCTCCTCCTGGTGGTGCTTTCTGACTTTTTCTCACTCTTGCTCTCGCTCTCTTTCTCCCCCTTTCTCCAGTAAGCACATATCTATAGTAAATTAGGAAGAAAAAACAAAGAATATAAGACTTAATTTTGAAGAACTCTAATATGGGATAGGAATTTATTCTATTGCACTTTTACATCAACATGGAAAAAAGTTTATTTTACTTTATTTCATACTTTTTTCTAAGTATGACAATTTTTTTGGCTCATTATTTATTTATAATCTAGAAAATAAGTCATTTTAGTAAAAAACTTCGTATTCAGGCAACTAAATATATTGATTAGCCAGGATGCATCAGAAGTAATTATCATCTTTGGTTTCAATTCTTGGTAAGTATTTCTTTTTTTTTTATGAATTATTTACTATTATTATTGTTAACATTACTTTTTACATGAGTTCTGCCAGAGAAAGACAGAGAGAGAGAGGGAGAGTGAGAAAGCAAGCCGTCAGGTCCAGGACTCAAACCATGGCTGGCCATGTGGTAATTTCAGCACCTTAACCACTGTGCCACCTGCTGGCCCTCTTGATAAGTATGTCTAAATTGTTTAGTTTCCAATTTCCATATAGAAATTCTGAACTTAATCATGTCCGTGTGATTCAGGATCTTCTGGTGCTGTAGCTTCTTTTTTGTTGGACTCTATCAATACTCTCCTGTATTAGCTGTATTGTATTCACTCTACAAAATGTCAACAGTTTGATTGACTCTACTGACTGAATTATGCAGCCCTGGAAATTACCGGTTATAAAACAACTCTAATAGTGACTTTTTTAATCTTTAATGGCCTATTAAAGTAGAAAGGGGAGAGATCTAGTTAATTGTGAATTTTGAATCCATAATAACTATGTATTTGTTTAAAGATATTTTTAAAAATGAAATACTTGGAGCATTAAGACAAATGTAAGAGAAGTAGATTTTTAAAAATATTTTAAATTTTCTGGATTGGATTTGAAGTTGATTGGAAGAAGACAAGGATGATGTGCTGATGAAAATAATAAATGTCTATTTGATCCACTTTATATTATACTATTTATTTTTAAATAGCGATTTCTCTGAAATATTTTATATTAATCATCTCCCTTTTGTTGAAACTCTTTCTCTGGCTTACATGAGATGACTTTCTCCTGTATATATTTATTTATTCTTTCTTAATTTTTTACTTATATCTGTTTCTTCCATGATGAGAGAAGCAGCACCCCCTGTAGGGTCTCGACACTGTGATCCATTCCCAGCCTCAGCTAGCCCCAGATCATGAGCGCATGCTCTAGTATCCTCAGGGAAGTCTTTGGATGCAAACCTGGAACACTCTTGTATGGGTCAGCCTCACAGAATGTCCTTTTTACTGCTATGCCACCATCTGGCCCCGCATCTCCTAGAAATGTTTCTGATTTTTCCATCAATTTCCTTTTGCAGGATCTTCTCTTTTTCTCTCAATTATTATTATTCTCAAGGTTTTTTCTTTCACGCTTATTTTATATATTCTACTTACTTCATCTGTCTATATTTTCAGTTCTATCTGTAGAATGATGCTGCTCATATTTATATTGCGAGAACACCTTGCACTTTAAACCAAACTTGAATAAATTGAATTCATCTCACTTCTGATTTATTCCTTTTCACCCACAATCTGCTTCTCTGACTTGGTTCTTAATCTTCTCTAAAGCCACCACTATCTGCCTGGTAAGCCAAGCCAGATGACTGAATGTCAGTGTTAAAATGATTAATGTGTAATTCAGAAGGAGAGTAAAAGAGAGCTCTAATAATAACCACTCGAAAAGAATAGGTATAAATCAGAACTATCCTATGCTGACTAGAACATATGGTCACCCTAGTCTTAGAATAACTCCTCCTTTTCCCTCATTGTTGTACTTCTGTGCTATCATTTTGAACCTATACCTCATTTTTTTTCCTGAGGTGAAAAAAATGAATAATTATTACTACTACAATAATTCAGATGTTATTCTTGAAGCTTCCCTACTCTTCTCCATTCTCATTTGTCACAGTGATGTTTTACAAATGCATACCTACTGAAGTCACACTTTCTTTGTCCTTCAGTGATTCTCCACTACATTCATGATAAAAATCTCAAGTGCCTCGTGTGACATTTAAGACCGATTTATAACAATGCAGAGTTAAGAAAGGGACTCAGTCTTATCTCAGCATCTCTAAACACATACTATGCTCTAGCAATAAGGAAACTCATCTTGCTGTCTCTTTTAATGGTGTTCCCTTCCTGCTTTGCCTCACTGATTCCTACTTTCCAGCAAAACTGCTCTGGTATCACCTCCTCCAGAAAACTGTATAACTCCTGTGGATCATTCTTCGGTCATAGTTTATAATTAGTAGTTTATCTTCTTTTTTTATGTTTTAACTTCTGTTTATAAAGATCTGTTTAAATATCTGTTGAATAATTATCCTTTTCCCTTCTCCAATGACACAGGTATTAAAGGTATTTTAAAAGCCACTCCTTTCTCCCCTCCCCATGTTTTCAAATTGGTTGACAGAGATTGAGGCACAGTATATGGCTCTGGGCAGATGACAAGTAAAGCACGCTGTGTCGGACTTCACGCTTCCGATTTATTTATTACTAGTTCATACTAGAAATCTAACTAGCCATAGATGTAGCAATTACATGACTCCTAATTTAAAGTTTCCTTTGAAGATAACCTACATTAAACCAATTAAAAATAGGTAATATATACTGAATGTTTTTAAATATGAGAAAATAAACTTAGTTATATCTGCTTAGGAAAATATAGTGTATGTGTCCTTCTGAACTGTATGGTAGAAACCAAAGTGATTGTTTTTATTCATTTCTTAGAGTTTGCTCTGAGAAGTATAAATTCTTCATAAAATTCTTAGCCTAGCTTTAAAAATGAATGAGGAGCTGGAGAACTGGGGGGAAAAGATAGCAGAATGATGAGACCCTGTTGAGGTTGCTCCACCCCTGCCCCCAGTTTCTGTGCACATTCTTGCTCAATCATTGAAAAGAAAAAGAAAAAAAAAAAACAGAATGAGAATTCTCTGTATTTTGATTCATCAAGAATTTATTAAGGGCTAGTCATAGGGTACATGCTTTCTTTACTAATTCTTTTGAGGTGGGAATAATCACCATTAATATTTTTATATAAAGACTATTTCAAAAGAAGCTATTAAAAATAAGTATATTGGGACCAGCAGTTGGCGTAATGGCCATGTTGCTGGACTCCCACGTAGTCGACTGCGGTTCGTGTCCCGGACCTGGTGGCTTAAATCTCATGCCGGGCGCGTGTGCGTGCGTGCCCAAGATCCCGAGAGGAGAATGGAGGAGAAGGGATTGCGGCGTGGCCATCCCCCCTGGGGGGTGATTTCTTGCTTTCTGTCTGTCTCTCTCTCTCTCTGTCCTTCCGGCGAGCGCACATACCCTATAGCAAAAACTCTCCAAAAAAAAAGAAGTATATTGAGGTTGGACAGTGGTAAAATATGACATACTGTGAGGCTGACCCATATGGGAAGAGTCTTTAAAAAGTAAAAATAAGTACAAGGTATACAATATATGGTCAGATCTATAAAATACACTCTTCAAGTATTCTAGACACTAGTAAGTGCACATAGCTTGAAAGAAATAGCAAGAAGATTGTTTTGGGTTCTCACACATGTGATCTAGAGTAAAAGTCCTTGACTATTTTGGGGTCTAATACTTTTAAGATTTTTGAAAGCATCCACCTTATGTTTCATAGTTTCTCTGAAGCCAAAGTGAAAATGGCTTCCTAGTGCTTACAGAATATAAACACTTCTTGGATTAACATCATCCTCCAACATATCTGTGTACCAGACCTTGTTCCAGAGGTATTCACACTAGTGGGAAAATACTATGCAAACAACCCTAACACAGTATCTTGCATTATAATAAATGTATTTTTCAATAAAATTTTATGAAAGGTGGTTAATTATTGATGAGGAAATAGTTGACAAAGTAGCATCAAGGCTTTGACCTCAGCAACAAAGAACCTTTCCTTCTGCATTTTGTGAGTACTCTGATAGCAATTTCTGCCCTTCTAGTTGTTTATGCATGACTTTTTTTCCCCCTTATAATCTTTTAGAAGATTAAATTCTCGAGGGCTAGGGACTTATGTTGTTTAATTTCATGTATGTTTTAATGTACTGTGTCTTATCTACTTACATGTTTGTTGGGTTAAATCTAGTTGAATGTGAGCCCTTTCTTCTGTAATATATGTTTTATTGCAGCTATTGGTAAAAGTTGTGATATATTTTTCTGTTTTACTTTTCTTTTTAGAGAGATTTTTGATATAGGGTGTGTGCGCTCACCAGAGACAGAAAGCAAGAAATCATCTCTGTCAGTGGGGTTGGCCATGCCATAATCCCTTCTTCATTCTCCTCTTGGGACTTTGGGCATTCAGGCCCATGCACCCTGTGTGAGTGTTAAGCCACCGGGCTTGGGACTAAAATCAAAGTTGACTATATGAGATCCAATGATATAACCATTATACCATCTGTGGGTCCCATTTTTCTGTTTTTCTATGCAAAAATGCATCATGACTTCTCAGGTGACCCAGTAAATAGCTTTTGAATTACCTAATGGCATAACTAGAAAATACACTAAACTTGAAAGGATGGGCCCTTCTAACCCAGTATACTATGTTTCAAATCACTAGCTTACCCATTTTTTACATATGTTTATTAAAAGTTAAGAGTAGGAAAAAGTGACATCACATCAGAAGGTAATACTATTTCATGGTAATATTTAAGCTCTGTGATACTACCAGTGCTTCAAACTGTGATCCTGAAATGAAATATTACATATCAATCTAAATGGGCATCATAATTTCAAGAAAACCAAGTCTAGTAAACATCGTTTTTTATTTTCCTAATAATTAACCATAACTTATTTTTTGACCAATGATAATTTGATCAGAAACAGGGAGATGGAGAAAACAAGCTGTCAGGTCCAAGACTCAAACTGCAGTCTGCCATGTGGGAGTCCAGCACCTAACCACCAAGCCACTTAGCCAGCCTTAACACAATGGTAATTTTAAAAGTAAATTGAATCAGGGACCAGCAGTTAACGTAATGGCTGTGTTGCAAGACTCCCATGTAGTTGACCGCAGTTCAAGTCCTGGACCCAGTGGCTTAAACTCACGCAAGGTGTGTGTGTGTGTGTGTGTGTGTGTGTGCGTGCGTGCCCAGGATCCCGAGAGGAGAATGGAGGAGAAGGGATTGCGGCATGGCCATCCCCCCTGGGGAGTGATTTCTCGCTTTCTGTCTCTCTGTTTCGTGGTCTCTTGTCTTTCTGGCAAGTGTACATGCCCTATAGCAAAAATATCTCCAAAAAAAAAAGAAGTTGAATCAAACATTACATCTTTATTGCTCTAGAAGAGAACTACTGAAGCAAGGCTGTCCTAATGGTTTTGAAACTATTTTCCCTGATACATTTTGTTCTCTGAACACTGAAGAAAACTTTAGTACAGATTAGGTAATCCTTTTCCCTAGAAAAGGTGTTAGAAAATCTAAATGTAATGATATTAAGCTTCCTTGATGAAGCTTCTTATTTTTTACTTAATAAATTTCTACATGTCCTTTTACTGATTTTCTCCAAATAATAAAGGTTGAGTTTACCTAATATAAAATGTGAAATGCTATAAAATCTGTAAGTTTTTACTCACCAACAGGATACCAAAAGTAGGAAATTCCACACCTCATCTCATGTGATAAGTTGAACACTGCAATGGAAAGTATTGCATAAAATTACCTTCAGGCAATGTGTATATGAAACAAATGAATTTCATGTTTGGACTTAAGTTCCATACTCTAGATTTCTCATATATATGCAAATGTTATAAAATCCAAAAATATCTGAACTCTGAACCACTTCAGATCCCAAGCATTTCAGATAAGGGATATGCTAACCTTTATTTACATATCTTAGAAAGCTTTATTTTACTAGTACTGACCATAGCTTCTCACTGTTAAATGAAAGCTCAACCCGTGAGCTGATCACATACTCTGTCACAAATGCCTGGAACTATCTTAATGCTGTCAGACTAATTTTGTAACTGATGATGATTGTATCCCCCTTTACTTATTTTCCAGGGGATGTATGTATTTTTGCATGCAGTGAAAGGAACACCTTTTGAAACTCCTGACCAGGGTAAAGCAAGGCTCCTAACTCATTGGGAACAACTGGACTATGGAGTACAGTTTACATCTTCACGGAAATTTTTCACAATTTCTCCAATAATTCTGTAAGTGGCAGAAATTTTTAGGTGTGATTACTGGATATGAGAAACATGTCCCTTTATCAGATTGAATTGAAATTAAAGAATTTTTTTGTCAAAAACCTCTATTATAAGTAACTATCTCAGAGTATAAAGTGCAGGCAAACTTCTTAACAAGTTCCTAGTAAATCCATTTTCAGTAAGTACATGTGGAGATAATATTCCATTATCAACAGTCTAACTAAACATCTAGGATTTTTAAGTATGTATTTCAGCGTCTGTCCTTAAGTTTCTGAAAACTAGACATAATCATATTCTATGTTGCATCTTCAGATTAATCTTCCTAAACAGTGATTCAGATGGTCAGAAGAATTTATCTTCTGAAACCTGTTCAGATGTTCAGATTCCTTGGGAGAGAGTATGTTTTAGGAAAAAAGAGATCATGGGGCCTACGTTGAATCCTGTATCTCTCACTTAGTTCAGTTTACTCCTACATAAAAGTCTAGCTAATGATGTGTAAACTCAGTCCTGATGCTGTAAGAAGTAAATGGCATAATATCTACTTGTAAAACATTTTATTTTATATCTGAAATCTAATTTCTTATTACAGGGTCCTTCAAATAGTTCCTACTTCATTTTCCCTTTACATGAATGTTTTATCCCCCACCCATCTCCCACCTGGCCAAGCTCTTCTAAGCTGCTTTTCTCAATATTTCATTCATGTATAATCCTATTTCTATGCCCTGGGTAAAGTCATTTTTCCTACCTGAAATGCCATCTCCTTTTTTTCCAGCTTCATTGAGGTATAATTGACAAAAATTGGACACATGTTTTATTTCTCCAAAGAGCTTATAAACTCTTGCATTGTTTTGAATCTCACATTCAGTGACTTTTATATAATAGGTGTATTTTAGTTATATCTTAAACCACACTTTATACCATTTAGGTCATACATAATATATCCCTGGTAGGATTGGTATATTCTGGAGTATTTAGAAAGAGTTCTGGGAATTCTTAAGGTGGGACTTAAGGTAGCGTAGATTTTGATAGATGTTTAAGTAAGAGGAAGGCATTCTAAAGTGAAAGGAATAAACTGTAAAGTGGTAGGCCTACCTTATGTTTGTAGCACAAAAATTTTCACTTGGTTTAGTCCCATATAAAGTTAACCTCCACAGAAAAATGTCTGTATGATCTAACAAAAATAAATGCAGTAACAAGCATAATAGTTACTCAGACAACTCTTAAATTTGGATTTGGAATCTACCACCTTTGTGCGATGTGACTTTTGGCTGATTCTTGAATATCTGTTTCTTCATCTGAAAAATATTACGGATTGCATTATAATAAATGTAAAAAGCCTAACATCTATTGAATTTTTAATAAGCACTATCTAAATAGGTCAACTAAGATGTACAGTGACCACATTTCTCAAAATATACTTTTGAACCACAGATGTGATTTAAAATATTCTGATTAAATTCCTTATATAATTGAAGAAGCAGCATTAAAGCCATCTGTGTAGCATTGATACTTTTCAAAGTGCTTTTACATTTTTGTATTTGGTTATCATTTATCAGGTAGGTGTGACATGCAGTGTTATCTCCAGTTTTTAGATTAAAAAACAGACTCAGATACATTACCTTGCTCAAAATCTTGCACCTTGTTGGAGTCAACTGTCCAGATTAAATTCTAAACTTTTTATTTTCTAATAAAAAGTCTCTTTCCAATAATCCCCTTTGTAAATAAACACTGATTCCCACCTAGGTTTGCATACCCTCAGAAAGTTATCTAGATGCATGTTAAAAGTCAAGTAATTTTCATATAATTACACAGTTATTTTTCACTAAAAGACAAAATGAGACATAATACACTATAGTAAAGAAAAGCTAATTGAAGATTTAGTTACAGCCTGTTAAAGAGAAACTCATAATGATGGGAAATTAAATAAGCTCACTAACTGCTGGCAGCATCCTATTTTGTTCAGTGAAGGAAATATAAAAGCAATGTTCACATACATAAAAGCAAGAAGAAGGAATTTAAAAGTTAAAGAATATGTGGACCAGGCAGTGGTGTAATTTAATGGTAATGCAGATAGACCTACATGGGAAATGTCCCAAATTTGTGTCTGAGAACCTCCTGGGCATACATGTTCATGCACACATACCCATAGTTAGGGCTGGCTGAGGCTGAGTGTGGATTGCACTGTGAGGACACTGTTTAGGGTGCCTATCTTTCTCTCACTGTCTCACTCATGGGGAAAAAAAAAAAAGAATACACTTTAAAAAATTAAAGAATATGGTTTACTCTCAATAAGCAATTTTTTGAATATTGTTTGTAAAACAGGTGGAAGATTGTAGAATTTTTCAGTCTATTCAGTAGATTATTCTGAATATTATATACATGTTCTCTAATGTTCTTAATCACACTTGGAAGTAGCTATTCTTTTGTAACCATGTTACAGGAGATACTGTTTTTCTCTTATGAGAAATTAATAACAGCAGTAAAAGGAAAGGCTATTAGAATACTTTCCTTGTGGGGTCTTTTTGCCAGAACCGTCATCTTTCAGTAATTGACCAAAATGAGGAACACAAAGGGAAAGA